GCGGTCGCAGTCCTTGAAGCGAATCGCGTTCATGAAGTAAACAAACTTTTTTCGAACTGATGCTTTACCGCGCAAGTTTGGATTTCGCGGCAAAATTCATTTTTAACCAATCAGATGCAAGTATAGCTGACGTCACGATTCTCGAATAAGAGTCAAAATGGCGGCCATGTTTGTTGTGAGTTGTACTTTTGCAAAACTATGAGCGATTTTGCGAGCAAACTCTCCTTTCTAAGGCCTGTTTCGGCCAAGAAGAAAAATAAGCATCAGCTTTTCTCGCCGGCTGTAAGGTAGGTTGATATTTTTTCGTGAATTTGTGGCGTGAAAAGGGTGTAGTCATAGATGAATCGAAGGTGAGAGACGAAAAATTGGACTATCAAACAAAAAATAAGGTGGAAGTTCGTTGCTTTGTGCTTTGCCTTCTTAGCGAAGATATGTTAGTTTCTAAAAAGAACATCATTTATGACAAACCCGTTAACTTGTGGGGGCTTTTTTGCTTACACTCTTGCAGCCTGTATGGCTTGGCTGTAAAAATTTACTAGGACCTTTCCAGAGACATGTTTTTTCGAGCTTAATTGAAGCTTTAAATTGTTATTGTTTGCGACGGAGGCGAAGCTTGTTATCTGCCAAGCTGGGGACCCATTTGTTTTCTAAAAATATTGATGAGAGTTTTCTTCAGAACTGTGAGGAAATTATCGATAAAACAATCTTAAAAACACGTTATTCCATACAATTCACAAGGTTGTTAGCTTACGTCCATGGAAGTTCAAGGTCCTCCAAGTCGTGAAGTTGACATTTTGATAAAATTATTCAAGCTTAATATGTATCTTTTATAGCAAAATTGTTTCCTTCATCGCTCGGAGCGTTGTTTATAAAGATAATTTCTTTGAAACCCAATTTAACTCGTTTAATTTTGGAAGCCGAAGAGTTTTTTTGTGTGTACATCGCAAGTTTCCAAATACGAGCAATAACCGGGCAACCAATGTTGCGATAAGGAATGATTCACTTCAATTTTCTCAATGAAATGGGTTGTAATACACAAATGGGGCCGATGATTATTTTTCTTTTTCGGTTAGTGAAAGCGGTTAGATCAAGCAGAACCGACCGATTAAAATTCACCCATAATGTGTTTTTGTCACTTCCCATGTCACTTTCTTTACACTTTTTGTTCGCGCGGAAATCCTTTCGTCTCCATGTACCTTGAGATTACGTTCTGTAGTAGCATTCATGTGTTTATTTGCATATTGGTCCAATATTTTAGTTGATTTCACCTGTATGTTTTAATTTCATTCGGCTCGCATTGCAGTTTCTTGGTCAGAAGAACCCTTATATTGCCCGGGTTTTCGTGACCCTTTTAAGAGCTAGACTCACAAATTTACTTTACGGGTGACATTGCGCTACGGGTGACAGGAAACTCTCTCCGTTTCTTGCGAAATTATCATCTGATCCATTATTACATGCGTCTGGGTTCCTGTTTTTCTTCCTCTGCTATCTTTGATGCCAGAAATTTAAAAGGGAGCACGTGAACTCCCTAGATAAGACAGCAATGTTTTATTAACATCGGTGTAACCAGTACTCATTCAATTTGTTCAAGAAAACGTACTGTAGAGTAGAGTTGGAAATTTCTCGTTCTGATTGTTTGTATTAAAAAATAATAAGTTTAGGAAGGAATATTCAGTCTAAGAAGCAATTTCCTCCAGAACTTGACATTACAGTAGTATGTTGAGCAAGATAGTCAAGTCCAAATGTATCCCAAACGTGTCATCTGCTGTGAAAGTTGCAGTTTATCTGCTCTTGAAAGTGACTATGGTAAATATGATACCAAACATGATGTAGTTGACGTGGGGGAAGTTAGCTTTCAAGGTTTCGAGTCACATAAATGGAGAAATGTAATGGATTAATTACTAGTTTTACTATTAGTGTTATTATTATTGTCATTGAATATGGAGATTCATGAATTAGAGTGTTGGGAATTGGTTTGACCAGACTGATTGATCATTGATTACAATCAGAGATATCTCTTTAAAAGAATTCCAGTTATTTTTCATGCTGGTGTTCCTCATGCTGGCAACATATAAAGGAAGCAATTGTGAGAAAGAACCCTGGGAACAAAGTGGAATTTCAAGCAAATTCCTTGAGCCATGAGCCACGTTTTCTGATTGCATGAAATAGGTTTGAAAATCTCTTTTACAGCTATTTGACAGCTAATTGTCTAGGTTTTTGAATGATTTGTAACATTAATAACGTAATTTTTCCTGCAATGCACACATTCAAATGTGAAAACCATTACAAACCACCATTGTACCATGGTTTAGAACCTACAAAAAACATACGAGATGCATCAGAAAAGTGTCATCAATGGATTGCAGACATCATTGACATTAAAAGGACAACACACAAGTTTTAATTTGTTAATTTTCATAAATATAAAGTTTTTGTTTTTTGGCAATAACCGATTGAATATTTTCCATTATTGATTATCGTGTTGCGTAAGGTTTTCGATTGATGATCAATTGTAATCAATGATTGACACACCATTAATGTAAATTGCAAGAAATTCAGATATGAGGATCATATTTCTTTCACTGGAGATGCAAGGCTTATTAACTACACGAACTCTTATAATGCTAACTACTGGCTTTCAAGGAGATGAAATAGATCTAGAATAAAAGCTGAGCTAACCAGGCCTTCTGATAGGGTGCGATGAAAAAGTGCAAATTATGCGGAATTTGCAGGGCAGATTATGTGATTAGAAAGGCCAATTATGTGATAAATAATGTAAATTATGTGATTTTTTTCTGAGCAATGTTAAGCTTGTTTTATAAGGTTTTAGGATAAGAAAAACACTTTTTTGCTGCCCTAAAGACATTTTGAACACAAAGGAACAGTAGTTATGCATCTTGATTGACATTAGTTGGGATAAATAAAAAAAAATGAGGTCTTCTGAACTATCGGTGCACCAAGTTAAAAGTTGAAAGGACACAGCTAACATGCCAAATGAATGATCAATTATTATTGATATTCTTGCATGCTA